CAAAAAAACCCAAGCGCCCGGGTTGCCTGCTGTTTTTTAAAAAAAAAAAAAAAAAAAAAAAAAAAAAAAAAAAAAAAAACCAAAACCTGTTGTGACTCTGACTGCATTTTAGGCAGCTTATGTTTGTTTTTATAGCCCATGTGCACTTAAAAGTTACTTTCTAAATTAGTACTTTTTTTTCTTTTCACCAAATGCAGTGAAGAAAATCCTACCCAAACAAGCTGATTTTTCAATGAGAATCAGCCTTCTGCATTTTAACAGTCCGTTAATCTATTTTAGCCAGTTCCTGCTGGTCTTTAATAGTGATGTAGATGACGTAAATGATTTGACCAACGATGCAAAAATTAGTTTTGCCAAGAATGGCTTTAATTACCAGGAGGCCGAGAATCTCTGATTGAGAAGAGCATAGACCAGCAGGGACAAAAACTAAGGAGCACGGGCTACGGTCTGTACTTTTATTCCAAAAGGCAGCACAGCTGGGATTCCCGCTCCTGGGAAATGAGCGTCCTGGCATTGCCTTACCTGTTTGTAGAATGAGGGCTTTTGTTTTCAATTTAAGTGGACAAAACGCTTAAGTGACTGTTGGAAAGGAATGAATTGATAGCCTGTGAATAATGACTTACAGTCTGCTGTTGGCCATCTTGAGGCTTTTAGAGATGTTTTCTGGTTCTGACCCAAGAATATACAGTGAACTCACCTAGATTTCCCCCCCTGCCCCAACTGCTCTTGTAGGATTTTCATTCAGGAAAAAAAAAGTTTACTTTAATTGGATCGATCCTACTCTAGGCTAAGCAAAGCGAGCATCCAGTTTGTCTCCTACTGTGCAGATGGCACTTTGATAGTGGCCACTTGGCTTCTCTCCTCCAGCCCCCAAACCAACTCTTTCCTTTGGCTGTTGGCTTTTGGTTCTCACTGTGTGAATATCGTGAGGATCTAGTTCAATGCAAGGTCTTTGTAAACAAACAGCTTTCTTGCATTGCAGTTCACCTCCCTGCTCTCCCTCCCTCTTCTCCTTTCTCACTCAGGCCATCCATTTGTGATTGCTCGGTAGTGCAGACGTTCAAACAAACAGAGCAGCAGGATGTCGATGTTGTATTGAGTGTCCATATGATTGCCACTTTGTTTGATGTACATCTGGCGTTAGTATGCATGGAAAGCGCTCATTTGCACTTTCCTCCTCTACTTTCCCTCCCCCTTCCTCCTTTGCTGTATATATTGTCGATTAACTACTGTACCTAACAACTTCCATCCTCCATTAGGCTGCCTATGTCCTCTTACAGGCCCCAACAAATCAGAGATACGTGCTCCACAGCAGGCGTTGCAGTAAGTAGCACAGCCTCAGACGCTGACGAGTGCGAGGGGACAGGTAGACCTGCAGAAGCGACAGAGATTGTTGTGTTCAAAGTAACAATGTTGTCCTAAAGCTGCTAATTTTTGTACAGAGGATGTGGACATTCGGGTTCTTCTTGAGCCTGGTAAGAAACACTGGACCAGTTGATGGTAGTTTTGCCCAAAGTTACACTACTGGTTTTTTTCACCTTTGCTAGACTTGCTGTGACAGCGAGAGCCCGATCTTCCCTACGCTCAAGTTTTATTGTCGAGCTTGAGCGCGGCTGCTTCTCTTTTTGTTCTGCGATGAGACTTCTGCAGTCTGTGTTCACCTAAGGAAAAAACCCAGGCCTTCCCCATTCACGCAGTATTCACGTGCCAAATTTGTGCAATAACTTCTGCCTTCAATATGAGATGCTTGTTGCGAGCCACACACATTTGGGGGGGGGGGCAGGGTGGAAAAAGTGGGTTCACAACAAAAAATTGAAGGAGCAGGACAAGTCTTAATGGAAAAAGGCCTGAAAGCAGAGGAGCAGGGGCGAGCGCAGAGGTGGAGAGCGGCGTCCTGCCACCCATCGTGCCGTGGAGCCAGCGGCTCCTTCCTTCGTGGTCTCTGTGCGCGTGTGCGCAAGCTACGGTACGGCTCTTGTAGACCATCCGCAAGCCTATTAAACCGGCTGCTTTTAGCACCGTCAGCGGTCCTGGTGTGCTCACCGCTGTTGTCCACAGCACTTTATCGTTTCCTATTCTGGTGGTTGCTCTCTGACGACAGACGGGCCCAGGGAAGAGAATGATTGTTTAAACATATCAACATTTATATAGTAAACAAACTAGGTGACAGGAACACGCAGCAATTTATTTTTTTAAAAATTCTTACGAAATTGACTTGATTTGCTGCTTTTTGGGGTTTTTTTTGCCTGAAACCAGGTAGTCGGTACTGATCTGCAACACGGGGAGCCCCAGCTTCTCAAGTTGGTCTGGCCCTCTGCCTCTGTCATGACAATACAACACAAACTAATTTCCTGCCTTGGCAGCTCCAGTTTTGCTCCTTTTCCTGAAAAGATGAACGCTTCTGTGATTATTTTTTTCCGCACGCGCTCACAGAGCTGGAAAGCTTTTGCTAGGCGTATCTTCTGCGGAGGAGTCGGGGACCAGGGGATGCAGGAGGGGCAGAAGGGAACCGCGGAGATGCTCACCCTGCTCTGCCTCGTCCTGCGGCAGGACAGGGCGCTCCGCGGGGGGCCCAGCCCGACTGTGGCCCCCTCGGCTGCGTCTCCTCCGCAGCCATCACCGGGAAAGGCTTTTCTCAGGCAGCTCTTGCTGGCCACCACAACAGGGGAAGCGGTCAAAGCTGTCCTGCCCATTTCGGCCTTTTTCTGTGAACCTTCGGTAACCTCTAAGCCCACTGGTGGATTTTTCTTTGGGTTTACCATTTAAGGGCTTTCTTCCATCTTTGTCCGTTTAAACAAAAATGTGAAAGTGACATGATGCTTGATCTTGGGGGCTTTGTCCCCTTTTATGGTTTCAGTACTGCTTTTGTTGCCAGACACGCTGCAAATGGATAACGACAGTCGCCTGTTTGCAAGTGTTTTGTGGCCGTTCAGAAAGGGGGTTGTATGATTTACTTTTTGGTTTCGTTGAGCAGGCTTTTTTTTTTTTTTTAAATGGAAGTATTTAACTTAACTGTTGCCACTTCCTGGAGCCAAACACTACAGGTCACCAAATTGGAAGCAGAAGTGCCATTAACTGAACTCTGTGAATGTCAAGTCAAGTTGCGCCTGTAGCTGGCACATAAGACAACACCATTAAGTGGGGGGATGATCTCCCCTGCTGTAACTCTTTTTTTTTTTTTTTTTTGTAAGAAAAATAAAATGACGAACCTCATTTTAAATGTATTGTGTAAAATGTTTCGGGAAAGGAGTACGGTGTGTTATGTCTAGTGGGTGAGACCTCCCTCCCCATTTCAGTTTCTGATGAAGTTTTAAAGAATCGTGTTACTGTATGTTTTGATCATGAATAGTCTGGTGGTGCTTCCTCATAGCACAAGCTTAAATCAAGTACTGAAAACAGTCTTACAAGCTAAATGTCTGCATGATGTTACATCTGTTGTACTTACTGAAAAGAACTTTGTATGTAAATGTACAGAATAAAATGACGTTGTCCCATCAGTTGGCTCTCCTTGGTCTGGCTCCCTCACAGTGACTTTGGAAACAGCAGCTAATGTCGGCGACACCTCAGCAAACAGTCCTACCCTCCTCTACAAACAGAATGAGCTGGTTGTAAATCAGGCTAATTAAATCAGCGCATTGATTTGCAACTAATTATCCTTTAGAGTCAATCACAGAAGAAGAGTTGACTCTGTTTCCTGGGTGGTGTAAATTAAAAAGAAAATACCCTCCAACAGTTGCTTTTTACTATTCTGATCTTGACCTGCGGCCAAGGACCGGC